TGAATAAAGATAATGTGGTGTATATATACAACTAAAATAAAAAACTATTAATATTTTTCCAATTTGGTTCCCTCTCACTCCCTTCTGCCTTTCTTTCTCTCCCCCTCAGTCCCTTTACACACACACACACACACACACACACACACACACATTCACACACACATACACACACACACACACACATTATTCAGTCTTAAAAAAGAAAAAAATCCTGCTGCTTGGAGGAACCTTAAGCTAAATGAAATTTCACACTCCAAAAGACAAATACTGTATGATCTCACTTAATATATAGAATCTAAAGGAGTCAAACTCATAGAGACAGAATAGTATGATGTCAAGGACTTTGGGGGTAAAGAAAGGGGAATGGGGTAATATTAGTTAAAAGGTGCTAAGTTATGCAAGATGTTAGTTTTTGCAATTTAATGTGTAGCATGTAAGTTAGTACTGTACTATATACTTGAAATTTACTAAGATGATAGATCTTAAGTCTCACTATAAAAAAAAAGAAAAGAAAAAAAGTATGGCAACTATGTAGAAGCAATGGATATATTAATTAGTTTGATTGTGGTGATCATTTCAAAAGCTATAGGTGTCAAACACAAAGGTGCAGGAAAAATAAATTTTTAACCATGTCTGGTAAGAGATGTTAATTAAACTTATTTTTGTGATCATTTAAAAATATATACAAATATCAAAGCATTATACTGTACATCTGAAACTAATATTATGCTATATATCAATTATGTCCCAATAAAAATATCAATAGCAATTTTACTCATAATAGCAAACATTAAAAACAATTCAAACCCAGCCGATGTGGCTCAGTGGTTGAACATCTACCCAGGAATCAGGAAGTCACAGTTCGATTCCCAGTCAGGGCACATGCCCAGATTGCTAGCTCAATCCCCAGTGGAGGGTGTACCGATTAATGATTCTCTCTCATCATTGATGTTTCTCTCTCTCCTTCCCTCTTGAAATCAATATTAAAAAATATATAAAAAAATAAAAACAATTCAAATGTCTACCAATAGGATGACTAAATTTTGGTATATTCATCCAATAAAATAATACTGAGCAGTAAAAAAAGGAGCAAATTATGGATACACACAATAGATGGGAATGATCTGATGTGATGGAAATGTTCTATATTTTGATTTTAGTAGTTATACTAGTTGTTAACTAGTTATACTCATTTGTCAAAACTCCTTAACTGTACAATTGAAGTTCATCCATTTTGTTAAGTGGAAATTATATGTCAATAATAAAAACTTTAAAAATTAAAAAAAAACCCCAACATCAAATTGTACATGTTAAACATATGCAATGTTTATATGTCAATAATACATCAATAAAAGTACTTAAAAATAAAACTTAAACGATAAAAAAAGAAATGCAGAATTTTAGGCTCTACCCCATATCTTTTGTATTAGAATTTGCACTTTACCAAAATATCTTATTAATCCACCTGCCCACTAAATTTTCAGAAATATTGATACATAAGACAAAATGACAATTGACTTTTCAGTGAAACACAAATAATTGTACAACTTCTTAATACTTCAATTATGACTACCTGAATTTATAGTCTTTTAAAACTTAAACAGATGAACAAAGTATATCCCTGACCTTTTGTTTTCTTTCCCTGAAGAATGTAGGATAATTGCTTCATAATTATATTTGTCTCAGTGCAGGCAGATAATAAGCCAATAAATAATAAACCTGCAAGCAAAGATTCTGATTGGCTTCTGTGCCATTTACTTCTGTGTTTCCTCTCATTAGACACAATGACTGGAAAATAAAGGGGGCTTCCTCAAACAGAGAAAATCAATGTCTGCAGGAGTCTGTTCTGGATTTCTTCTGTATTAGCTTAGTATTTGTAGACTAGGGTCCCAGGGCACAAAATTCAGGGGGGGGGGTGTCCCTCAGCCCAGCCTGTGCCCTCTCAGGATCTGGGAGCCCCATGATCCATCACTCCAAAAAGGTAGGCCCTGCCCACCCAGCCAGGGCTCCACAATGGATTGCCCCCACAGAGGGAGGCCCTGCCCACCCACTGCATCCCACAGGTTGGTGGCCTGAACCTCCCTCTTTGGGGCGATCGTGGAGCACCCCGATTGATAGATCAGACAGTCATTCTGCTGTTTGGCTGTTTGGTCGATTTGCATATTATGCTTTTATTATTATAGATTGCTTCTGATTGGCTTCTTTGTTCTGCCTGGAGTTGAGCGCTCAGTAGCAGAACTGAATTGTCATCCACTGAAACTCCTACTTCCAAAAATAGAGTGGTTAGGTGATGACTGTGGAAACCCAAGGAACTGAAAAGATTTTCTCAAACTCTGGTTTATGGAGATTTGAAATCCTGTTGTTACTTTGAGTTTTAGGGGAAATGTTTTATCATCTCCCTCTTTATGATTCCTTTGCTCTAGGATATCTACTTGGGGCTTTCCAAATCCATTAAACTTCTTGGAGAGAAAAAGATCTATGTTAATTGAAAATAACTAATGTTGCTGTAGTGCTTTTTTCCCATTACTTCTGATCTACACATGAATCTAAACATCATTTGGGTACTTCTTCCTGTTTTCCTGTTAAGCCCAGGCAAGACGTGGGTTGAGTCATTGATCTTTAGAATGATGGTTCAGTGGCTGATGTTTTCTGTGTCTTCTGCATCCAGATAAACCGCCCAGGTTGCCAGAGAGGCTTGCACAGTGCTTGCCAAGCATAGGTAACAGGGCTGACAAATCGCTCCCTGTGTCTGACATTTTTGAATGCAATAATGAAGTGATAGCTTGTGTGAGCACCGCTAATGCTCTGGGGTTTGGTGATGAATAAACTCTAGATGCCTCGCTTCATATCACTTTTTTTTTTTTTTTTTACAGCTTTATTTCTTAATTTGGCTGGGTTTTCTGAGGGATCTTTACAGAGCAGTGAAATTTTCCCTCATTTTCATTGTAAAAGGAAATTGGCCAGGTGGGATGTGATGCCCCTTCTCAATGACCAGTCTTAGAGTCAGTTTTCTCCTCAGCATCTCTTCCTTATAACTTATGTTAAAAAGTATCAGATATCTTTTCCTTGGGAAAAAAGGCAGGGTGTTCTATACTTCTTTTCCCACATTTTTTTTCTTTTTCTTCCCTCTTCTACAATCAATATTGATTCTGTGACCTTGAAATCTTTGTCATCCCATGTTAATTCAAACAATTGAATGATGCACATGATAATCATAGCATAGCAAACAAGGTGGACTGCTACTTGTGAATTGTAGATTCAAGAACTGGATTTCTTAGTATCCTATGATTTTTGAACATTTGTTTAAATTCCCTGAGCCCTGATTTTCTCTTTTTCAAATTGGATTGATTTAGTTCCCTGACCTACTTCCCAAAGGGCCAATGGACTTGAAGGGAGCACTTTTTTATACTTTTATTGTGAAACAATTGTAGATTTACATACAGTTATCAGAAATAATATACAGAGGTCCTGTAGATCTTCACTTCCCCCAATTGTAATTCTTGCACAACTATAGTACAATATCACATCTAGGAAATTGGTACAATCCACTGATCTTATCAGACTTCACCAGTTTTAAATGCATTCATTTGTATATGTGTGTATTTAGTTGTGTTTTAATTTCTTAGGACTATTGTAACAAAGTGCCACAAACTTGATGGCTTAAAGCAATAGAAATGAATTCTCTCATAGTTCTGGAGGCTAGCGGTCCAACATCGAAGTGTCGCTGGGGCCGTGCTCCCTCCCACCCCCTGTACATCTAGGGAGGATCTTTCCTTGCCTCTTGAAGCTTCTGGTAACCCATGCACTTTCTTGGTTTGTGGCATAGAACTCCAGTTTTGCCTCTGTCATCACATGCCCCTCTTCTCCTTGTGTGTCTTCACATCCCCGTCCTTCTGTGTGTACAAATTTCCTTCTTATAAGGACCTCAGTGATAATGAATTAGGGGATCACTCTGCTCTAGTGTATCCTCTTCTTACATAATGGCATCTTCAGGGACCCTATTTCTAAATAAGACCACATTCTGAGATATTAGGGCTTATGGCTGCAACATATGTTATTTTGGGGACATAATTCAAAACATAAAAAGTTCTGTGTCATTTTATCACATATGTAGATTTGTGTGGCCACCACTACAATCCAGATAAAAATAGTTTCATCACCACAAAGATCCCTTCATGGCTGCTGGGAGCCAATTCCAGTATGTCATAATTATAAGAATTGCATCAGAAGGTTGATGAAACTTAGACTCAACAAGGGCTGAGTCACATAATGTGATTACCTGTTGAAATGGCTAAATGGCACTTTCCCTCAACCTGATTGCTTATTGCCAGACAGCTCAGGGAATTTTAATCTGCATGTTATTGCCCCCTGTTGGCCAAAACCTGAACAGCTGTAGGCTATTTCTCAATCTGACAATCCTTCTGTAAACCCTACCCTTTGAAACCCTACTTTTTGAAGTATATGTCTCCACCTTGCCTTACACATCCTTGGAAAACCTCTCACCTGCTCTCTAAAGAATATTATATAAATTGAATCACACAGACCACTTTGATACCTAAAGCCCTCAACTGACACACATATACACCGAAGTATAGTTTGGTGCCTTTACATTTTCTAGACCGTCACATGTCAGGAGTTGTATAGCTTGGTTTTCTCCAGTTATTTTTGTGAGGGTCTTTTTTGTCAGTCAACACTTTCTTCATCCTCATTATCTTTACTCAGGGAGGACTGGAATCCAGGAGAAATGGTTGTTCTCTGGTGATTAGACTAAGACTTTGCTTCCACCATACTCCTCCAATGTAACCTGTGCTTAACTGCAGCAGGAACTCAATCTGGATTTTCAACAGGCGGAAGAGTGGTAAATCTTAAGAAATGAAAGAGCATTCCATTTCCAAGGGCTTTTGATAGAAAAATGCATTCTGTACCAGCTATAGACTTACGGGAAGGTAAAGGCCATCTGTCCCCTTTTCACCTTTATGGGGATGTGTGTACACTGAGACTGGGAAGACACACTCTGCTGCAGTGCACTCTGTTGTTCTTCAGGATGTACCTGGGAGCTTAGCACATTCTGAAAAGGTCGATTGTCATTTACTTATTATTATTATTATTATTATTATTATTATTATTTTTTGCTAATGTTGTCCTTTACCTGACTTGCCTGTTTTGATGGACTAAGAGCATATTCCTCCTGGATTCAGACCACTTATATAGATCTGTCTCATTTCTAGGAATTAAAGTAAAATTGGAAGCCATACAATGTACTTTCCAGAATCTTCAAGCATGAGGCATCAAATTATATTTCTAAAGAGAAAGCACTAAAGCAAATTGTGATGCTTCTGAATGAAGTCAGAGGTTGATCGCTCACTGTGGTTCAGGATGGCCGAACCCTCTTTTTATTGGAGAGTAAGTGGGGCCCATCGCAGAGCTTCTTCATTGTCCGGCACCACAGCTATTTTTGTCCCTCATAAACGTTGTAGCAATTTAGCAATCTATCGACTTGACTTTTTTCCATAAACATGCTGCCTGTTAGATGCATAATTCAAACACACATACAAACCATGAGATGTTTGCTTAGCAAGAGCTATAATTTAAACGTAACCTCTGTAGAAAGCCATTCAGCAGCGCCTGTGTGTGAAGTGTAATTTAGTCTGTAGAAGCAATCTTCCCTCCGCTGCTCTAATATGGGAGCTTGTTTGCTAAATAATCATTGTAGCATTTTGCTCAAAGCGGTGGTTTTTTGTATTTCCCCCCCACCACTCATAAATGTTGCCAAGGTAAATGAGAGTTTTTTGGAAACAGTTACTGTCATGTAGTTTTCATTTGAAAATGTCACAATAAAGCAATGTTCTTTGATGCCAAGAAGCATGGAGCATTAGAACATGATAAACATAGTACCTAAATACAGTAAAATAACATCACCTAATGGCTTGATTCTCTCTTAAAATGAGAAGCTTTTTATTCTACAAGGTCTGGTTGGGGGACATATCTGGGAGTAAGCTGGAGTGTATAAAAGAGCCTTCAAGGTGGGTGGTTGGAGGAAATTATTATTATTTTAAGGTTTGGCTGAATGAAAAGGAAGAGAAATTTGGAGAAAAATGCACTCCAAATAAGTGAAATGGAGATTACAGCCCAAAATATGCCATTAACACCAAATTACAAAAGTCTTTCCAAGAGCCAGGTGGAGACACAAAGTAAAAGCAAAGTTTTAAAGGTATAATTTGAAGAGTCAGGAGAATATACAAATAGAAAAAAAAGTGGAAAGTTACAGAGGCAGCCAGATAGGAAAGGACACAGCTTTCTAAGTGCACTTTTGGTGTCTTTTCTTTATCCTGCCTATTGCATTATTGAATATCAACTATATATATTTTTTTGTTTTGTTTGAGTACTAAAAAATGAATGAACAATAGCATTTGTTGACTCTGGCTGATAAGTACATTTGTTCTAGTATTCTGTGTACTTTTTATATTTAAAAATTAGGACGATTTCTAAACTAAAACCCGAGGTTGAGAATTTGAGTCTGTTAAAGAGATTCTAGAAATAGCAAACAAATGACATAATGGCATAGTAACTTGGGAAATGCTCTCTACATTGTTTTCACATGTATTTGAAGGCATAATTATTGTCTTCTGACAAGATAATAGAACCAATTTTGTTATAGTTTATCCTTTAAACATTTATGGGGTGATTACTCTATACTACTCACTATGGTGGGCACAAGGCATTAAAAAATAAGAGATTTGTGCTTTCTTTACCAGAATAGTCTACAGAATATTCTACAGAGTATTTTTTCAGAATATTCTATAGCTTCTTAATGCTAAGTTGCAGATGAGCCCATGGTGGCTTATTTTCCCCTCTGAATAGTTCTGTTGTCCAGTGTTTCTCAAATTACTAATATACCACCCTTATATCTATCATATCATCATTTCATGAAATATAAAAAGAAAAATCTTGAGGATCCAAGATGGCAGCATAGGTAAACACCTAAACTGTTGCCTTGAACAACAATTTAAAAACTACAACTAAAAGATAAAATGTCTATCACCCAGAACCATGGGAAAGCTGGCTGAGTGGAAGTTCTATAACTAGAAGGAAAGAATAAAGAGCAATGAGACATGCACAGTGCTGAAAAGCTGAGGTATGGAGGCATAATCTGGGCTGGTGGTGGGCATTGCTTTCTTCAACCCAAAGGGATACAAGCTCCCAATTTCTCTGAAATCCAATTTCTGGGGAGACATGGGGGACCCAAACTCCTATGGAGAGAAGCTGGACTATCTGCCATTGGGTCAGAAAGTGAGGGTGGCTTACTTACAGAGCTGCGTGCAAGAATAATTGCTTGCTGCACTGGGGCATAGGACACAGGAACGTGGTCAGAGGTGCTGTTTGCCACACCCTAGCCTGGTGATGCCTAAGACCCTACCCCACACAACCTACAAATCCACCCAAGCTCCAAGCAGCGGCTTTTGCATATGAATGCCTTCCCTATCACAGTTTACCCTAGCAAACTTGAAATCCAGGTCTGACAGCTCCAAACCCTCCAAACCTCAAGGAAAGAGGAGAAAACTGTAGTTCTTGCTGTAGCTATTGCAGGGTGGCCTCAGTAGCTGACCTGCACCCCATTGGAGATCCAGAAGCCAGTGTACCTAGTGGTCAGTGTGAGAAACCAGATTTCAACTCCTCACATCCATAAGTAACACACTCAAGAGCCAGACTCAGTGAGCACAAACTCCCCCCCCCCCCCCCCCCCCCGCCCCCCAAACAAGTCCTGCACCATAATCGTGTCTCCACAGCACAGCAGTTCTTCCATTATAAACACAGCGGGTCCTCACAGCCAATTGGCCTGGAGGTCAATTCCTCCCAGTGTACCAACAGCAATCAAGGCTTAACTACACCAAGACTTTGCACTCAGCCCACAAAGAGGTGTACCAAGAGAGTCCATCTCAGGTGATTGGGGAGGCTGAGCTACTGGCCATTATAGGTCACCTACCACACAAAACCACTCCATCAACACAGGGATTCAGCCAAAATGTGGAGACACAGAAACATGTCACAAATGAAAGAAATGGAGGGAAGCAAACTACTGAGGACATAGAGTTCAAAACCAAATTTATAAGGTTACTCCAGAATCTTCTAAAAACCACTAAGAAACTTGGTGAAACTTCTGAGGAGCTTAGTGAGACATTCAAGAACCTTAATGAAAATGCAAAAAAAGAAAAAAAAAAAGATAAAAAGAAAAAAAAAACAGTCAGAAATTAAGCATAACTGTCTGAAATAAATAATAAATGGAAACTCAACTGTAGATCAACGTACCCCAAGAATAAAAGCAAAGATCTGAAATATGAGGAAACAACACCTAACCAGGAAAACAAAAGAAAAAAAGAATAAAAAATAAGAAGATAGTGTAAAGAGCCTCTCAGATATCTTCAAGTGTACCAACATCCGAATTTTTGGGGTACCAGAAGAAGAGAGAGAAAGATACTGAAAACCTATTAGAAGAAATAATGACAGAAAATTTCCCCCACCTGGTGAAAGAAATAGACTTACAAGTTCAGGAAGCACACAGAACCCCAAACAAGAGGAATCCAAAGAGGACCATACCAAGACACATCATAATTAAAATACCAAAGGCAAAAGACAAAGAGAGAATCTTGAAAGCAGCAAGAGAAAAAACAGTTAGTTACCTACAAGGGAGTACCAATATGACTGTCAGCTGATTTCTCAACATACACTATGCAGGCCAATCAGGAATGGCGAGAAATATTCAAAGTGATGAATAGCAAGAACCTACAACCAAGATTACTCAGCAAAGCTATCATTCAGAATTGAAGATCAGATAAAGAGCTTCATAGACAAGAAAAAGTTAAAGGAGTTCATCAACACCAAACCAGGACTACATGAAATGCTGAAAGGTATTCTTTAAGAAGAGGAAGAAGAAGAAAAAAGGTAAAGGTAAAAAGTATGAACAACAAAAAGACATCAAATACATACCTACCAACAAGTGAATCTAAAAATCAAGTGAATAAAAATCTGAAGAACAGAATGGACTGGTGAATATAATAAAATCAGGGACATAGGAAGGGAGTAGACTGACAATTCTCAGAGGGAAGAAGGTCTCTAGGTGCGGGAAGTGATTGGACAAAAATCTTATACCTATGGATGAAGACAGTGGTGGGGGGTAAGGGCTCGTGGTGGGGAATCAGGTGGAGGGGAGCTATGTGGGGGGGGAAAAGAGGAACTCCTGTAATAGTCTGAGCAATAAAGATTTATTTATACAATTAATCTTGCCCTGGCCAGTTGCTCAGTGGTTAGAGCATCAGCCCATAGACAGAAAGGTCTCAGGTTTGATTCCTAGTCACGGACATGAACCTATGTTTCAGGTAACCCAGCCCCCATGGAGGACATGCAGTAGGCAAACCTATGGATGTTTCTCTTTCTCTCCCCCAGCCTTATATTTCTCTCTAGAAATCAATGGGGAAAAAATATTCTTGGGTGAGGATTTAAAACAGCAACAACAACAAAAATTTAATCTTTTCTTATTTTCACCATTCCGTGATTCTGATTATACACCTTGGATAAAAGTTACTCATCATGATGCCTTATGATTTGTTAAAAAAAAAAAATCACAGCTGTATGAAGTTTTCAACCATTGAGGGTTTTTGATTGAATAGGCTGATGGTCTAAAGCCAAATTCAAAGCAAGATTTTAAAATTATTTAGAACAATAACAGCATTATTGGAATAAGTCTTTTATAGTCACAACTTTAAAGGGGAAATAATCATTAGATGCTGATGTTATTTTTATTTTTTATTTTTAGTATATTTTATTGATTTTTTACAGAGAGGAAAGGAGAGAGATAGAGAGCTAGAAACGTCAATGAGAGAGAAACATCGACCAGTTGCCTCTTGCACACCCCCTACTGGGGATGTGCCCACAACCAAGGTACATGCCCTTGACGGGAATCGAACCCGGGACCTTTCAGTCCGCAGACTGATGCTCTACCACTGAGCCAAACCTGTTTCGGCTAGATGCTGATG